TTGTGTACAATCACCGAATTTGGTAGAAATTAGTTTACTATAATTACATTTATTCCTCATGGGACGATAACTTAATTTACTACGTTATTACTTGTTAACGATCTCGTACGCTTGCTTGCGAGTTTTGTCCGAACACTTAATCATAAAATTAATTTACTGATCATAAAAGTGGCACTAGTTTATGTTAATTGTCCACTACGAAGAAAAAGGTAAAATTAATTAATTCCACTATTTGCTTTCAAGTCTTTTAACACTTCTCCTAAAAAATCAAACAAGTTAATATATCACCACAAGAATCTCCATTCTTAGCGATCAAAGATTTCTTTAAGAGAACATTATTTTCTCGTTTGAATACCTTCAACAAAGTTAGCTTCTGCCTTGAGAATTCAAGAATATTGCGAATATAACGGTAAAATCTTTCGACTTAGCCAAAAAAAAAAATTATTTGATAATAAAATACTTGAAAACAAGAACAGTAAAACTCAAGGATTACATGTTCACTCATCCGCTTGTGATGCATCAACATAAGCAACATAAATATTGTACTCTAGAACACCATAACTAGTTTCGACATCATACGAGTAAGTGTTTGTAATGGCATATCCACGGGCCATTCGGAAAACCCCGGTACCTCCAACAATAGCCAACTCTCTATATTGGTTACCTAATGGATTCCTCCCCAGCATGCATAGTGTACTTCCATTGTAGTTCCCTGATGTAAATACAAAGTTGAGGTTCATTGTCAGGGCTGATTCGTGAAAGTCAGAAGATGTGATTAGCCCTTGAGCCCGGCCCACTATCTCTGAGTTACGATCAGGTCCGGCGGTTACTAGATCATCTAAGACTCTGACTTGACCAAACGATGTCGCTGAATTAGATGTAAAGTTGCATCGTGCCACTTCCCAGACAGTTGGGTTCTGGCCGCCTAGTTTGTCTTGTACAAAAAGTTGAATGCTGGTAGTTGTTTCCTTTCCTAGGTAGAGGTTTTGGAACCTGGCATGTTCTTGTGCATTCGCGTAGGCCTTAGGCATAGCCATGCCTATAACCAATGCACAAAACACAAACGTTAAAATAAGAAACATTCCCATCACTCCCTCTTAATTTTGTAAGTTCTAATGGGTCTATGATAATTGAATTTGCATAGAACTTCGAGATTGGTATGCTGTATATATAAGTGCATGTATCATTTTAATAATGAAACTCGTGACAAAAATGGAGTGGTTGAAATGGAATAATTAACTATAAAAGCTAGTTCACCCTAATTAAAAATTAATTTCTAATAAGCCGCCTCTCCTTTTCATGATTATACAATTGAAAGCTTCTGCATCTAACAACCATAGTTTCACATGCATTTACATTAACCTAACTTCACAGTTAGCTGTCGGCCGTGGCTGGGGCGGCCGGACTAGGTGATGTTGTCCAAAAGTTCAATTACTATTTCATTCTCATTTAAATAATTAATATTTTACAAACTTTTTTTCCATTTTCATTTTTTACAAATATTATAAATTTTTCTTTAGTATATTTACACATTTTTCTCTTCTGTGAAGCTTTCTCTAGATGCCAATAAAATTACGTATTCATTTCCTATAATTTTTTAAGCAGCAAAATTGCCCGAAACTTAATGAATAAAAAATGATTTTTATCTACAAAATATCAATTGATGTCAATTTTTATTCATTGTGAAAGTTACATAGTTCGACCTTAACAATATCTAGAGGGAGTAAATATGTATATTATGCGGAATTAAAAATATTTTATAAATTAAACAACAAAAAGTCACTTTTTAATTCTTTTCTAGATGATTAAATATGCAAGTTATTTTAGTCCTAAGTTTGAATACTGTAGTTTATATGATCAATTAATAAATAATAACGAAAGTAGTAAATCAACACCAGAATGATCACGGAGAAACCCAACTGGAAAAAACTCCTGACACTTTGCAAGTCAATCTACTATAAACAATTCAAACAACTTATAGTCTATTAGATTAGACGATCTGTACTATCTGATTTCTCGACTGTATTTCTTACATCTCTTCCTGGATCCTCATGCTCCATTGTACCAATCCTTAGCTTCTATTGCCAAAACTCTCTATGGAATCTGCTATTCTGCAGTACTCTTAGCCTTGTGGAATCGTCTATTTCCCGTGGATCAAAGAAGAATACCGCGTTCTTCATAGACTAAAACTCCAGTCAAGCTCCCTCGATCTTCAAAACTCTGACCAGATGTAGAGAAAATACAGGGCATTTGGATTATCGAAACAACGTTTTCTCACCCAAACAATCAAAGTAGATGAAGGTTGAAAGATAGAATCGAATGAATCTCTCACAGATGAAGTTCTCTCAATGTTCAACCTCTCTAATTTTTGTACAGATATGTTTTGGTATATATAGGTAGGTTAGAAAAACGAATGGATGAGGTAAAAAAACTTTTAAATCGTGAAATAAAAATTTCCTGAATAACCACTTTGCTATAGCAAAGATCGAGCGACAGTGTGTAGCTTGAGCGAAGAAGGGGCGACAGTGCAGCGACAATGTTTGTGTTTTTATAGCTCAAGCCAAACCTTGGTGACAGTCTAGCAAAAATCCGCGCTGTTTTCCTCGTTTTGCCATTCTCGAACCCTCGACCTAATAACCGTATTTTAACTATTTGCTCACTAGTCCTTGACTTTTTAAACATAGTACAATTCAATCTTTTTGTTTGTAGAATTGCCAATTACAAAACATCTAAAACCTAACCCATTGAATAATTTTTTTTAATTAGAAGACAACAATTCAAATTTTTTATTTGTTTTTTACACTGCTGGAAGAGTCCATGAAACATTTCTAAATTTTTCAATATTTTATTAACTTACTAAAATTAGTTTTTGTTGATTTGATATCAGAGTTTAAGAATAGAAGATATTAAATTTTATAAATCTCACAAGAAAAATCATCCTTTGAAAAAAAAAAAGCATTTAATGAAAGACCAATAATTAAAAAATAGTATATAAAAGGTACGTAATATATATGTTCTAATACATTATTTCTATTTATAACGACATTTTTGTAATTTTTTCCCGCAAAGATTACCTGCCTCTTTGTAACCACTATGCAAATTGTAGCAAGTTTAAAATATAAATTTGTAAAATATGGCACGTAAAGTATAATTGCATCCTACTGAAGAAAATTTCACTTTTAACAACGAAAACTTTTTGTTGGATTCTGATGTCATATTTGACATTTGCTCTTCAACCATGAGCTATGATAAAAACTGGACCTGACCCACTGCTGGATGTTATCTGCCATTGTTCGATAACACTTAGAAACTGGCCCAAAACCCATCCCAACATAACGACACGTGTGTTGCTCTGAGCCCTTGATCTACAATCTGATCTACGGTGATTGTGAAGTGTATATATACCAGCTGAATGGTCACTTGAGCCATAATTTTTTATTATGTTCTCTCCTTCGTGTGCGAGAAGCTTCTGCGGTCTTTCCTTCGTGATTTCTTCTCTTAATTCTCTTGTTCGATTCTATGTGAATCGATTAAAACTATTGGTTTTAATCACCAATCTTTGTGTTTAGAGTCTAAGTGATTCTGTGCTTAAGGGATTTAGAGTGTTGGATCAATTTGTTTATCAAGGTTCATTGAGTAGCTGCGAAGTCAATTTCTTTAAGGTGTTGGTGTCTTTATGGCCGTTTCTCTGTAGGAAAGGGTACAATGAATTATTTCTGAGCTCTACGTGATAATAGAATCCTTTGATGTTGGTATTTTGTTATTGTTCAATATACTATGGTATTCTGCTTCTGTTGAAATCAGGTTCTACAAGTGGTATTAGAGCGTTTGTAAGTTCATAATGGGTCTTGGATCGAGTTATTTGATGGAGTTATTGACACTGAAAAATTAATTTTCAGGCGACATCCTTTATCGATCTCGTATTGGTTAAACCCTAATTTTTTCAATTTTGCTACTAATCTTGTTTTTATGTTTGTGTTCTCTTGAAGGAAACTAGTTCTTGGTGAACGGGCTTGGAAATTGAGCTTCGAGCTGGTGGTCCTACTAAATCTCTGGAACTTCCTTTTCTTGATACTAGTTCTTCGAACCAGCTTGGTGACAGTTTTTGTAACCCCCTTTAATTATCCTGTTATTTGATCTTGAATATTGATTAATTTCCCCATGTTTCCCCTGCTAAGTCTTCTTATTCTCTGGTGATTAAGAATTGAGCCTTGACCTGAGGTCATGAACCTCAGGAATCCTGGTGAATTCTAACATTAGAGATTGGAGGAATTTTCATATTAATATGTTTAATATACAGTACGCTGTAGCTGAAATTAGTGAATTACTGTGATTATAAATTGGTTTAATGTCTTTGTTGATTTTGAGTCTCTCACTTGAGTTATTATTCTGGTTACATTCACTATTAATTCTTCACATCATTCTTCACTGTCTTATTGGCCTGTTGATTTGAGAGATATTTCTTTTCTGTTTTTATGTTACACTGTGGTTTGTGTGATATTATATTGGATTTGAATTATCTATTTTCTGCTTTTTTGTTAAACTTTGACCTCAAATACCTTTTTTGTGTTGATTAAAAATTTCAAATGACAATTACAACGTTTAAACTTGGAATTTTTAATGGAAAAGGGGACTCCCCATTTGGCAACAAAAAAAGAAAGGGGGTTTTAGTTCAACAGAAAGTCTCTAAAACTATAACTGGTGAATTTTCTGCTACTACGACTGATGATCAAAAACTTGAATATGATGAACTTGTTTATACCTCTATGATTCTTCATTTGTTAGATCAAGTATTGAGAAAAATTGGTAAACTTGATAATGGTAAGGCTTTGTGGGACAAAATATGAAGAACAATATATGTTTAAGAGTCTGCCTAATAAACCCTTCCTCCTAAAAAGGATCTTTAGCTTTAAGATTGATATGTCTAAGGTTTTAGATGATAATCTTGATACCTTTAATAAATTGGTTCAAGATATCGCTAATACTGGGGAGAAGGTGTCTGATGAATATAAAGCTGTTATCCTGCTGAATGCTATACCTGATGNTTTAAGATTGATATGTCTAAAGATTTAGATGATAATCTTGATACTTCTAATAAATTAGTTCAAGTTATTACTAATGTTGGGGATAAAGTTTCTGAAGAGTATAAAACTGTTATCCTTTTGAATGTTATACCTTATGTATATAAGGATGTGAAGGTTGCTATAAGTATGGTAGAAATACTTTAACTCCTGAGATAGTGATTAATTCTTTAAGAAGTAAAGAATTAGAGCTTAAGGTTGATAGGACTGTGAAGGAATTTGAGAGTTCATTTGTGAGAGAGAGAGACCTATGTCTAGGCAAGTGAATGGTCAAAGTCATCAGGGGAATAATAATTCTAAGAAGCAAGGGAAAGGGAGATTTAGATCAAAGTCTAGGAGTGGAAATATAAAGTGTTATGGGTGTGGAAAGATATGACACTTTATAAATGACTATTATAAGAAGAAGAATGAATAGAGAGAGATGAGAGTGAATGAATGAAACGTAGTTGAACCCCTATATGAGAGAACCGTTGATGTGTATGTGGTGACAAAACCCATTTCTGATTTGAATACTGCAAATTATGTAGATAACAGTGATCAGAATAGTGAATGGATTCTGGATTCAGGGTGTATTTTCCATACGACATTTAGAAGACCTTGGTTACTTTAAGAATCTTGATGGTGGAGAGGCGGTTATGGGTAACAATGTAGCTTGTCATATTAAAGGAATTGTTAGTGTGACTTTGAAATTTGAAAATGGATATATCTTTACTTTAGAAAGAGTAGGTATGTTCCTGATTTGAATAGGAACTTGATTTCCATGGGTAGTCTAGATGACATAGGCCTGCAAGGTCGGATTGGTAATGGTTCTTTGGAAGTAATTAAGGGTTCCTTAGTTATTCTCAAAGGTACCAT